AATAAGCACTTCCCTGGCAAGTGCAAGGGCCTGAGTTCAATCCCCGGTACCACAAAAAAAAAAAAAGAAAAAAAGGATGAAAGAAAAAAAGTTAATCTTAGACAATACCACCTTCATGTCCCCAGGCATTGTTATTTTCTGTAGATGACTCAGTTTTACTTCTGTAAAAACAGGGCCAGACCAACCCAGGGTCTAACGATCCGAGGCTGACACCAACAAGCTAATTCTTGATACCCAGGACCTGAGTCCCTGCCCCTGAGGTGAGAAGGCCCTCTGGCCGGGGCTGGGCTGGCTGGACCTTTGCCAGGAGGGGTCCTGCAGCCTGCAGGCAGCTGGTCCTTCACAATAGTCATAGTTGCCATATAAATTCACATGCCACATTCCTGGTGACAATTATTCACTAGCAGATATAAGTTATGTGTAAAATGTGAGTCCAGAGTCCTCCAAAGTCTGTCAGCAGAGCGGTACCCTTGGGCTCCTTTACGGAAGAACTTCCAATTTAGTGCTAATCTCTTAATGTGAATCCTTGCTCTCAAACTGTAAGCTTACTTTGACCTTGTGTAAAATGGAGAACTCGTTATTATTGTCTTAAAGTTAGGTTACAGTTGAGGCTTCTTTTCAGGATGAAAATCTCAGGTCCTCATCACCTCAGCAGTCACTGCAAAATCCTTGCCCTGTGCTGGGCCTGGCAGTAGGGAGCCGGAGATGCCACCCCGCCCCTGGAGCTGCGTCCTCTGGCCTGGCCTCTCTCCCTCAGCTGGCCCAGGGCCCGATTTCCCCAGGCCCTCTTCTCCCTGAGAAACACTCTCCCGTCAGCTCAGCTGCACGCAAGAGCGCTGCCTCGAGCTCTTCCGCCTCTCCTCAGCCCCCGTGGGCACTTGGGCTTCTTCTCAAGGATGAAGAGAAAGGAACTTGGGGTTCAACTTACTTCTTTCTCAAAATGGATTTGGGGCCAAGTCTCACGGGTGAATCTGTACCCATGTACCAGCAGGTGGTAGATGTAGTTCGCAGAGAAGCAGTGGGACCGGGCGTACATCTCATCGAATTTGGGGAGCAGGAGAGGGAGCTGCTGAGGAAGTTAGGGTTCCTGAGAGGAGGCACGGGTGGGCACCCAAGACTCACATCTCAGGAGACCAGGGCCAACAGCTGACTTTAAGGAAATCTGCTGGCTAGGGCTCCCTGCGAGAGAGGGCTGTGTGGTGCTGAGCTGCCCACGCACAGCAATGCACAGTAGGCAATCTCCAGCTCCCCGGTGCCGGCCTGACCCCGCGCAGTGTGCTCAGGAACCGCGTAGCGGTGTGAAGGGGCTCCCCTCGGCCTCCACACTTGAGACGCTTGCATGCTAACTCACACCTGCCCTTGTACTGACCTCAGCCCAGCTTCGGGAGCAGAAACTCCAGGTGCTGGCGTTGAAGGTAGCCAGGGAGAAGCTCCCTGAGAGGTTGAGTGCTCTGGCCGTGTAGTAGAAGCCAGCAAAAGCCTGCAAACAGCACAAGACAGGAGCTCAGGCCAGGGCCAGGGGCCAGGTGGGGCAGCATGGGAGCTAGGGGCAGGAGGGGCACAGGCCGGGGACAGGGGTCCCCAGGTGGCGCAGCATGGGAACTAGGGGAAGGAGGGACACATGCGGGTGGGGGTGGGGGTGTTGCCGCCCGGCCTCCTTGGGTGGTGGTCTCACCACAAATGGCCCTTGGACCTTTGGCTGGTAGACCCCATCAATGGAGCAGTCTTCCTGGCCACGACAGGCCCTGAAGTCAAATATGGAGGCCACCTTCTCCCAGCACAGCTGTGGGTCCCCTGTCCCTTCTAGAGTAATGCTGCGGAGGGGATGGTAGCTGGCCGGTCTCTGCTGGGCAGTGCACAGGCTGTCAAACACCTGGCCCATGGGGACGGTGACACGATAACCCTGAGGATAGCAGGGATTGGTGACGCGGGTGTCAGCCGAAGAATTCTGTGGACACAGGAGGGAGGCAGGGTCGGTCCCTCTTCATGACCCCAACCCAGCACAGAGCATGTAACGCGCCACTCTGTATCCCCGTGCCTGCTCACGCAGGGAAGTGGGACACTTGCCTCTCGTATCTGTGACAGCCCTGCAAGCAGGTCTGAGGACCGTGGCTCTGGTTTTGAGAAAGCATGACTCTTCAGATGAATGTATCATTTTGAATAGACTAGCAAAAATAATCTGAAGGTACAAATAAACATACTACGAGAAAGAATTCTCACCGCCCTCTGCCAAGTGACGTGTCTTGGAAACCATCGCTGCTGGGGGCCGTGGGCTTTCATAGGCCTCATGTCCACCTGCGAGTGGACTGCCTTCCTGTTCCCTCTTTACCTAACACACGCCAGTGCCTTAGGTACGCTGCTCTGCCTTTCACATTTCCACTTAATCACATGTCTTCTGACCAACACGAGGCACTGGAAGGCTCTACCGTCCATCCCTGGGGCCGGGGCCTCTGGTGACACAGCCCATACTGCAGACTGCCTTGTGCCAGCCCCAGGCTGCCCCGCTCTGCGCCTCTCTCGGCTGCCCTGCTATTCTGTCTGCACTCGGGGCTTTCAAGTTCTCAGGCCCTGCTAAAACCTGCTGGAAACATTTGGTGTCCCCAAGGGGACCCCGGGGCTTGGATCATTTATGAAGCATCTGGAGGTTGAGAACCTCCCCAGACCTCTTACTCAGATTCCTGGAAGCGGTCAGGAGGGACAGAGGAAGAGGAGGATGTTGGGGAGGACAGCACAGGGCCACCAGCCACACAGGGCTGCCAGTCTACGCCACCTCCCACTTCCCAGGGAGCCCACATCGTGTCCAGAAATACCAGGGCCCAGTACCTGCAGCAGCGATGCCAGGAACCTCTTCTCAGCCTCATTGCGGCCATAGCACTGGAAGCTATGTGTGTAGAGTGTGTACGTGTAGCCGTACAGCGACACCTGCACCACGTCACTGGCGTTCCGTATCCCCACAGCCTCCGCCAGGAAGGTGATCTGTGTGGAGGCGCCACCCAGGTCCAGGGCACCGGTGGTGTCTGCCCCGTGCGGGTGCACCCACATATGCCACAGGTCCTTCTGTGGGGGACAGGGTGTGAGGGAGGCGCCTATGCCCTGCTGCACCCAGGCTGTGCCCCACTTCCCAGAGCGCAGGAGGCAGCATTCAGGTGGACACAAGGGCTGCTGGGCACAGGGGCCATTGGCTGTGACCACACAGCATGCCAGCTCTGAGTGTGGGGTGTGCAGAAGAGAGGTCGAGGGAGCCCCTGGTGTGTGTCTGCATTTGACATTTTCCCAAGCACTCAGCATGGCTTTTAATTTAACATTAAAAAAATAAATTTAAGGGGGAACGAACATTTAAAGGGTCCTTAAGTGGGACAGGGCCTGACACCCCAGGTTTTTGCTCTGCGTGGCACACGTGACTTCCCTTTGTCCCAGGAGCAGGGCATGCAGGGGCTGGGCTGTGGGGACACAGGCGGGGGCAAGGGCTGCCCTCTCCTCTCCTCTCCTCTGGGACACGGCAGCAAGGCCGCAGTGTGACAGACTCGGCCTAATTTCTGGTCAAGTGACTACCCCTTCTCACCGCACCCCAGCCCACACTGGCCCTGCTGTGCTCTGGCTCCCCACCTGCAGGCAGCCTCCTTTCTTAGTTGCTACCCCATCCGTGTCCCTTAGTGTTCCAGGCAAGAAGCCCCTCACTCTGCCTAAGCCTCCAGGCAGGAAGGACAGACAGCGGAGGACCAGCCTCGCACCTCCAAGAAGTTGCCCTTGATGTAGTTGGCTGTGATCCACCCGTATACCCCTTCCTCTTGCCCGGAAATGATCTGCGCACCCCTGAAGTCAAAAGGCTGGGACTCAAAGTAGCTCTGAATGCTGCTCAGGACTCCGTCAGCTGCTGTTTCATTCTGCAACCTGTGGGAGGCACAGAACCGGGGGAAGGAGTCCTTGACACGCCCTTCAAGGTCTCCCTCACTGGGAAGGGATCTGCTGCCCTTTCCCCAGGACGAACGTCCAGATGTGTGCACCCCCTGACGCCACAACCTGTTCTGCAAGTTGCAACTCATGCCTGATGCACTCGCTACCTGTCCGACTGCCAAGGGGCAGCTTCCCAGAAAAGTAGAACCCGTCTGCGCCTCCCTCTTCCTGTCTCATTCTTCAGCATGGGTGACCCCAGGTCTTCCGCCTGCAGCACACGGCGCCTCACAGGCTGGCAGAACCTGGGACACTGGTGATGGCCAAGGGTGGCAGAGCCAGCTCCTGGCACACAGTGGAGGAGTGGCTTTCAAGCCTGGAGGGAACATGGTCCCCGGAGCTGTCCCAAGACTGACAAACATCCGTACTCTGACCCACAAGCCTGTCGCCCACGACACAGCACAGTCCTGGCACTTGTTCACTTCCCCTGAGACGATTTCCCCGCACTAGTGGGCCAGGAAGGGGTTTGAGAAGCAGAATGGGCAGGGGGCCTCCAAGGGACAGGCCTACTGCTGCGGGCCAGGATGTCGCCCAGGACCACGTCAGAGCGTCAGCTGGCTGCCCCTTTGTGCGGTCTTCATGCCCAGACACGTGTCACTTGGCATGGCTGGCATTGCGTGGTGCCCAAGGCGGGGCACAGCAACTTTCCGATGAGAGCCCCATTTGAGACTCAGAGCAGCTCTACTCTGATCACAGCAGATGTTACTTTCTAAGCTGTTTTCTTTTTATTTCAAGGTCAAGGAAATACTATGATAAAGGGAAGTGTGTGTGCATGCCTGTGTGACAGAGAGAGAGAGAGAGACAGACACAATGCCAATGGGTAAAAGCCCTGATGGAAGGTGCCATCTGTCTGCCCACCCATCTGTCAGTCCATCTCACGAGCTCCAGAGGCTCTGGCTAAGAGAGGCCACTGTCCCGCTGCTGTGCAGCAGTGCCAAGGGCAGAGGCCACAGTGCTGGGCTGTACTGAGCCGGCTCCCACAAGGCTGGAAACAGCCTGACTTCTGAGAAGTGGAAGAGTCCAGGAGCAGACACTGTCAACCCCCATTTCCAGATTCTCAGGAAAGTCACCAAGGGAGAAGACAGGCTTCAGAATGGCTCCTTCTGGCTATTAAAGACCAAAGGTTCCCAGCGTGAATGCTTTCTCACCGCCAGCACACGCAGCCTCACCTGAGCAGGCGCATCCCCGCTGTGGCCCCGAGGTAGACACGGGTGGCCCCATGCAAAGGGGCTGGGACCTGCTGCTGGACCCTCTGCATACAGTCCTCTAAGGCCGTAGGGGCATCCTGGGGGTTATCCCTGTAGCTGGAGATCCCGGGGCCTGCAGAGCAAGTGGTCAGCATTGGCACCAGTACCCCGGTTAGCTCTGAAGTGAAAAACCAGTTCTTGAAACTCGAGGGTCTGGGGGGGCTGCTGATAGGACATGGCCAGGTCCCGCATCCACATGGCCATCCCATCCAGCTCCTGTGGGAATGACTGCATGGTAAAGAAAAGAAGGTCAGCCCACGGGCCTGCAAAGTGTCTTCCCAAGAGAAACGGCAGCTGAGAGGGGGACATAGAGGGCCAAGGAGCAGACCAGCTTCCAACTGCAGCAGCCACCTAATGCACCCGGGGCCACTGCGCCATGGCCTCAGCACCGATCACCGGAAAAAGCCCTTTAAAAAGCATAACTGGCTGGGCGTGGTGGCACACGCCTGTGATCTCAGCACAGGGAGGCTGAGGCAGGAGCAGCCCTGTGAGTTCCAGTCCAGCCTTGATTACATAGCGAGACACTGTCTCAAAGAAAAAAAATAAGCAGCTTCACAACGACATCAAGAAAATTAGAAATCATTTTGTTTTTATTTTTGACACAAAATTCTTGTGCATATTTATAAGTTAGTACTTGAAGGGCCTGCCAGATAGTTCAGTAGATTAAAGCACCTGCTTAGGCAGTCCCAGGGACCCGGGTTCGATCCTGGGCCTGCCCCTGGGCAATTGAGACTGAGCGTGGTGGTGCACACCTGTAATCCCAGCACTCAGGAGCCTGAAAACAGGAGGCTCACTACGAGTCCAATCTGTATAGTGAAACCCTGTAGACCCTGTACGAATACATTTTAAAAAAAGTTAGTACTTGATATTTTGACTTGTATACACGGTGCATAATGAGAAAATCAAAGGTAATTAGCGTATCTATCTGATGCCTGCCACTTTTCTCATTTCTTTTTGGTATGGAAGATCAAGCTCAGGACATTGTGCTTGCCAGGCAGGCACTTAAGCTGCTGAGTTATGTCCCCAGCCCTCTCATTTCTTTTTTCTTTTTTCTTTTTTTTTGCAGAACCAGGGATTGAACTCAGGCCCTTGTGCTTGCCAGGCAAGTGCCTATTCTACTGAGTTATCTCCCCGGCCCTTTTTTTTTTTTTCCATTTTTTTATGGTGAGTGCATTCTCAATCCTCCTGTTTTGAGATCTGTTAACCACATCCACACTGCTCTGCAGCACAGTCCAGAATTTACCCTTCCTGTAACCAGCACCAGGCTCTACTCTCAGCTGCAGAGAATCAACGTTTTACACATCTGTCCTCCTGTGTCCAGCGCAATGCCCGCCACATATCCACCACCCTCGCTGCAGTGAGCGGGCAGCGCCCATCCTCTCATGGAAAGCAGTCGCCCCTGTGTGTGCAGCCACACCATCTACCCACGCGTCTGTCGGTGGATCCAGAGCTGTGGTCACACTGCCTCCAATCGTGCTCCTTCCCGCCCCCTCTCCCTCCACCTCTGCCTCTTGCTTTCATTTACATGAGTCAGAATCTCCTCAGATTCCATACACTGCAGCTGCAAGTTGAATCAAGGCAAAAACTTTAAAAGAACATACATCACAAATTCAAACCCGAGACTGGCGTGGCCTCTTTGATCTTGAGCCTGCGGCCTGCCTTTCCATGCTAGGAACCAGCATTACCAGAAAGCCCACCATGACGCAGCTCTTCCAGCCTGCACACAGGCGTCTCCTGATAACAACCAGCGCCACACCGACTGTCCCCCGTCGTGGCCGCTCTCCCACCTGAAGGCACAATGCTCTACCATTAAGGAGAGCTTCATTGTGGGTCTGCAGGGTTGGCGGGCTCTGAGGTGGACCCAGATGGCTGAGGGAAAGAAAGGTGCCGGACTCTGGGTGGGCTGCCTGGAGCGTGAGGAGGAGGGGACCGGAGGGGGCAGACCCCTCTCCCCCGCCAGACCCCAAGGGTGCCAGTGACCGCCTCTTCCCTTGCCCAACTGCGCAGTGCCTGATGAAGAGCAGGCCCTGCGGCTGACCCCTTCCACGCAGGGCTGTGGTCCCTGGCTCTACTCAGCTGCCAGTCGCATTGATCCCTGACCCCGTGTGATCCTCAGCACGGGCTTCGGAGAGCACAGCTGGGAACATGCCGCCCCTGTGGGTCCTGTCCCATCCGGATCGCCTTGAATCTGCTTCCCTGCTTCTCACACTCCGCGTTCGGGGTCAGCAGTGGGACCCTGTCACCTGAGTGTTGCCGTCAGCTCCATGAGCAGCACCTTCCCTGCCTCCCTGACCTCCCGAGGAGAGCCACCCAGGGGTGGCTGTGGCTCCTCCCAGGCCTGGCTCCTGCTCCGGCCCTCTCCCTGCAACAGCCAGCTGTCTGTCCTGGAAGTGCTTAGCTGTGCTCCACCCTGACTCCCCCACCGTGCCTTCTGCTTGACCCCGCTCCCCGACCTCAGTGGGCCCCGCCTCTCACTGGGTGCCGCAGGACTGTCCATGCCTCTGTCCCAGGCCAGCCTCACCCTGCTGCCCGCTTACCCTTCCTCTGCCTCCTTCTTTGGAATGTAACCGTGTTTTCATTTCATTTCAATTTTTGTTTATGTGAGCCAGGGTCTCGCTACATAGTCCAGACTGGCCTTGCAGCCACAGCAGTCCTCCTGCCTCAGCCTCCGAGTGCTGGGATGGCAGGGGTACACCACCATGTTGCTGCTGGGGTGCAAATTCTATACCATGCAGCAGCAGAAATTCTGCATTGTTTTTTATGATTTCCCAGTGCCAAGAGTGCTTCTTGGCCAACTCAGTAGTGTTCATTCAGTGAGTGTCATCCATTAATCAATCAGTCAGGGACTTTGAAAGCAGCACCCAGCTCTACAGCAAGCAGATCCTGAGTCCTGACTGGGCCAGCCGCACGACACACCAGGGCTGCTGTCTCTACAGCAAGCGGATCCCGAGTCCAGACTGGGCCAACCACACCACACGCCAAGGC